TTGTAGTCCATTACAGGAGTGAGCTTGGAGTGGTGGCTATTTTACAACACACACAGGGACAATGGAGGACAAGCCCCCCTCCAGAAGGAAGGACAGTGTCAGCACCAATTCAGAGATGATTTCAGGAACTACAGCCGAGTGATACACAAGTAAAATAACTTTTTTGTTAATATTTGAGGTACTTGAATGTATTTTTAGGATTTAGAGGAGAACTATGGGGTTAAGGCTTTTCCCCATAGTTCTCCTTAAGGTAACGGAAGGACACAAACTAGCGTCCTCCCGTCACCCTAGGCTCAGTATAACTGAGACGCCGCAGTATACCGCGAGCTGCTGCTAGCGGTATACTGAGACGCCGCAGCTGAAGCGGATCCGGGCAATTATGTCGGGATCCGCCCAGCTGCGTCATTGACAGCTGGGCGTGACAGGATAGAGAGGTGAGCGAACGCCGTTATGTGTTCGCTCACACCCGATCTACTGAGCCGACCTGTGACAGTCTCATTGTCACAGGTCAGCTAGAACTATGAGGTGAGTGAAAAGCACTCACCTCATAGTTCTCCTTTAACTCCTGCGTTTAGTGTCACTTTAAGCTGAATGTAGATATTAAAGTAGTGCTAAAGGCTTAGTGGGATTTTTTTTGCAGAGAATGCATTAAGGTAAAAAAACAGCCAGTACTTTTTTAAAACCCCCGTCCCCCCACATTACCTGTAGCCGTTTGTATCCTCCGCCGCGACTGGGAAGATCTCTGATCTTCCTGGTTGTGGGGGAGGGTACTGAGAGCAGAGGCGCATAGGCTCTTCCTGCTGTCAGGCCTTGTTCACACCAAATGCAGAGCAGATATGGTCAGGTTTCTGCACACGCAGTGCAGTGGGTTGTGCCGCGTTTTTGATGCGTTCCGGGCCATTTTTGGTTAAAAAAAAATATAATTTTAAGTTTAACATGGGCTATCAGGCACTTGCATGCGTTTTTGACGCGTTCCAGAGCAGGTAAAATAGGGCTTGCCGCAGTTTTTTCACCTGCTCTGGATCTGCACGCTGCAATGTGAACTGGAGCTCAAAATACCATAGGAATACATTGGACGCAGTTTTGATCCGGTCTGCACCTGCTCTGCTCTGGATCTGCTCCTTGCTTGGTGTGAACAAGCCCTAAGGCTGGGTTCACACCTAGGCGTATTGAATATGCGCGTTTTTACCGCGATTCGCGGTGCAACAAACGCACGTTTCCGTGGGCTACTTGGCTGTATCCCAATGGAAACGCGAGACCAAAACGCCCCAAAGAAGTACATGTACTTTGGGCGTAGGCCGTTTTGTATCGCGTTCGGACGGGCGGAAATACGGCAAGGTGTGAACCAGACCCATTAAATACAATGGGATTTAGATGTTTGAGTGTTTTGTAGAGCGTTCGTCGAGCGTTGAACGCGCTACAAAACGTTCAGGTGTGAACCAGGCCTAAGTCAAACTGTGACTGCAAGGGTGGGGGCGTGGCCGGCCGCATGCTGTGTGTGTGTGTCTATAGACCGGCCGGCTAGTTGATGGAGGCACCCGCACAGAGGCAGAAATAAAATTTAAAAAAAATTAAGATTGAAGGGTTATGGGGCAACGGTGCAAACTATTGTGCATGCAATGAAATATTGCCAAACTTATGGAAGCGTCACCAAAAGGACTATTTCCTACATATTGATACTTTGTTCAAATTTTTACAAAATCTAAAAGCTAGTAGTAGTTGCACAACAATGCACTTGCAGATAATTGAAGGAATGAAGGACAGACTGGGGAAAAAAACCTGCAGCCACAGAGCTTTTTTTTTATTATCTAGTGAGGGAATAACTAGCTCAAGATCAAATCCCCTCACTTCTCAGATGTGATGTCAGTTTATGAAATGATGGGACCCAATACAGTGATCATTCACCCATTTAATGACAGAATGACAGGTCAGGGGTTCTGTGCTAGAAACCAGTTGCTCTCAGAGATGCAAGCTTTCTCAGCAGCCTACCACTCCTCTTTTCTGTCTGTGTACAGAAAAATGCAGCAAGAACCAGTCACACACACTGGAAGGCAGCCCGATCCCAGACTTGTGTTTGACCCTTTTTTGTAACAGCATCCGTCCCCTAATGTCAATGTCCTGTGATGCAGTGTTCACTTGACATTCCTCAAAAGGAGGGAGGAGGAGCAAAACTTGTGCTCTTTCAAACCCCCCTCCTCTCGTCCAGCAGCTCTCAATGTGACTGAGAACGAGGCTGCTTTCATCATTCCAGATGCAGGGATGGGCTGTGCTTATATACATGGAATCTCTCACGCTTCTGTAAAATGAGAGAATTTTGATGATCTTGGCTGCAAAAAATAACCTCATGTCTGTGGAGAAAGCTGGTAGAAAGAAGTTGCTCTTGCAACTGCAAGCTTTTCCCCAATTGCCCTCTGTCTCATCTGTGCACAGTGCTGAATTGGTTATATACACACACTTGAAAGTAGCTCAGCCCTGCGCCATCCACTCCCTCATTTCTGTGTTTCTGAGCAGCTGCAGTGATCACTTGGTGAAGGAAGGAAAAAGCAGAGCGCCGCCCTGCCAATCTACCTGCCCTCACAGTGACTGAGGCGGTTCACATGTTTTTCCGGTAGATGGTTAATACAACATTCAGGACTCTAAGCTACAAACCAGTTTGGTAGCATTGTGTTGCCTGAATTGTCAGTCAGATGATATGACTTCATGTGCAATTTACAAGTGGGGATATCATAATTCCCATTTATCCAAGAACCATGTGAACGCAGTATAAAGGATGCTTTTAATTCTCTAGTTCAGATGGGGCTTGCCTACACACATAGTACCCTGCTCTGTTCTGTGTTATGTTTTGGCTGCATTAGGCAAATATGGCCCTTTCCATAAAAAGGCATTCAACTACTTTCTTCACTAGCAAGAGGACATTTTTTTTAGCATAAAGGGAGACTTTATGATCCAACCATAATCTGACTGAGCAATGATCACCATGCCTTTTGACTGAACATGAGGCAGCAAGATACTGTCTAGATCAGTGGTATGCAACCTTAACTCTAGTTGTGGTGAAACTAGAACTCCCATTATGCTTCTTTGAGTCACGCCTGTTGCAATATAACAATCTTGCAATGATTTGTAGTCTCGCCACAGCTGCAGAGCCAAGGTTGCCTACCTCGATCTAGATAGAGGGCAACCGACAGATTATCCCAAGGGTCAAGTCCTGCTTATCCACTGAACATGTGTGTATATATATCCACTTTTAGTGGACTTACACTTGGTGAACAGCCCTCCCTCATCACCTCTGATAAGTGACACATTTACTTATCCCTGCTCCACCGAAACCCTCATTGAATGGCTTGTTAGGCATTGCTTAGCCTTGTTTTGCAGATATCCACTGTCTGGTCCTGCTTACCCCACACATGGGTGACGAGACCCATAATCTTTATGATGTAAAGATGGAGAAGGAGCAGAAAACCCAAGACTGAACAGGCTGTGCAGTATCAGATGGCCACACAGCAAAGATTGTGTAATTTGTAGGGATGTCCTGATACAAGCATCGGTATCGGGACAGATAGAGGGCATTTTGACAAGTACTTATACTTGTCAAAATGCCCCGATACATAGCGCCAAAGATTTTGTTGCGTCACTGCTGCTCCGTTGGGGTCCTAACTTAGGTGGCCGGCGACTGCCCAGAGGACCCCACTCGGAGGGCCACCCACCAGAGCAGCAGTGACGCTCCTCTTCAGCTCAGCGCCGACGACATGGTTAGAAAGTGCATGTTGGGGCGGCCCGACAGGACTTTCTAACCATCGCTGTCAGACGACTTGCTTACAGCTGACTCCCATCGGACCTACAGGCACGGACACCAACATGCACCGAGCGTCCTCATTGCCTTCTACAGCGGCTCAGTCCGACAGTGCAGACATTGAATCTAGCACGATACTGTCCCTCTGTCACGATCTACATGATCAAGCACACGGCAGGGACATAGACCAAGTCCTTGCTCTCCTCCCCCCCCCCCCTGAACCATCTATACTTGACAGGTATCCTCTGGCCGTACACTCTGTATACCAGCACCGTGAAGCTACACAATGTGGACTGACTCGATCCTCCATTAAGGCCGCCCTTCATCCAGTTCCTGGTTGCAAATGTAAGTGCACCACTACTTTATTTTTCCCTCCTTGACATAGAGATAGGTAGTCTCTAGAATACATACCATCCAGGTCATTGCGCCCTTGTGTGTTTTTATTGCTATGGATCATTTAACCCATTCATGTTAGCAATGCAGAATTGTAAATCTATTGCTGCAGTGTATTCTATATGTAGTACATGTACAGTACACATTCCAAATTCACTGCAGGCAATAGATTTACAATTCTGCCCTGCTAACATGAATAGGTTAAATGATCCATAGTACAACTACATGTTATGTACTATGGATCATGATTTAACCTATTCATGTTAGCAGGGCAGAATTTTGAGCGCCTCCCACAAGCTGAGCACCGAGACGCGATGCAGCGATCCTGCCCAGCGCTGACCACAAGAGGCACCGCGTAAGGCAACAGGGATTGGAGTAAAACTGGGACAGGGCTGGCTGTAAATCTATTGCTATAGTGTACTGGACGTGTGTACTGTATATGTGGTACAGCACACACCTCCACTACATTACTGCAATAGATTTACAATTCTACCCTGCGAACATGAATAGGTTAAATAATGATCCATAGTACATAACATGTAGTTGTACTATGGATCATTTAAAGTCACCTATCCCTTTAAGGGAAAAAGTATCGGTAATTGGTATCGGCAAGTACATGAGGGGGAAGTACTTGGTCTTGAAAAAGTGGTATCGGGACATCCCTAGTAATTTGTAAGTGGCCTTAACTAAATGTAAAGCTTGTGTGAATTTCAAACACAAGGTACATGTAGTACAATGCTCATCGCTATTTGGGAATGATAAAGTAAACACCTCACATTTCCCATTAACAGATAACCATCAACACTAAAGCAGTCAATCTGGTGTTGCCAAAAAAATCATTTATTTAACATATCTTCAAGTAATGGAATCATTTCTTTTGGACTCATACAAAACGAATACACATCTTCTATGTTTAAAAAAGTTAAAAACTAGCATCAGTGTTCATTGAAGAGTGCCTTCTTTGAAGCCACAACTGCAAAGGCAGTTACAATCCAGTTCTGGAAACCTGGATATTGTAACGCTGATAAGCAGCAAAACAAAAGTTTGATGTTGGGTCAGTGTCCATTTTGGGTGAAGAGCGACTTATGCAGCTTTCTGTTGTTCTTTCTTTCCAATCAGAGACTTGTGAATGTGAGGAATGACACCTGTAAATAAATACAATTATTGATTAGTAACCTTTGTACAACATAACTGTATAGGAAAATGCTAGGAGCTTCCATATTACTTCATGAAGAAAAAAAAACTAGTCTGAACTTAAAACCGTTTTAAGTATTTTGTGAAGAGAAGGAAACACAGTGGAGTGTTACCCATTGCAGTCAGCAAGCATCTCCTGTCACTTTATAGCCTGACCTAGAATTAGGGTCACATGAATACAATCACTTTCCAACCCATTCGATCATATGGAATGCTCCTAATTATCTTGCCTACATGAATGCATGTGCATATCGGAACAGGCTCGAGTTAGAATTTCAGGGAATTCTTCTAATATACGTACCACCACCAGCAATTGTGGCCTTTATGAGAGCATCCAATTCTTCATCACCTCTGATGGCAAGCTGCAAGTGACGTGGTGAAATACGCTTCACTTTGAGATCTTTAGAAGCATTTCCTGCCAACTCAAGAACCTTGGGAGAAAAAACAAAAACAGATCTCAGTTGTTTTGTCTCACAGCAGCTTTGTAATTCAAATTGAAAAAAACATAAACAGCTTTTTGCTGGACAGGGTTTCAGTGCACTCAGTTTGATAATTAACTTTTTTCAGATCCAACATAAAGCACATGTAGCTCCAATACCTGCTCCTCTCTGGGTTTTAAAACAGAAAGAAGAAGTGCAAGCTGATGGCACCCTAAGCAGTGTACCATGGAACCCCACACCAGAAACCTAGAGGCAAACATCAAATAGGTAAGGCTTTCTCCCAGCAGCACTAAACATTTTTGCATTCTGGTCTCAGACATTCATACAGCACATTTTCTGTCATAACGTTCATGTGAACTAAGATTGCGCAGTGGGCTAGTCATCACAGACCAGGTACTCGCTGTAAATTGTATTATATATATATATATAGCTAGAATGAAATACAACAAAATTATAAAAAAAGGTTTGAGTTTGTTTTTTTTGTTAACAATGATGCTCCTCTAGAACCATCATGTAGGAGTTGTGTGATCACAGTTCTAAATACACAAATAAGACCCAGGAAGGTAAGCTATGTGCACAGACATCTACAACCCCATGGCTTTTTTTGAGACAAGTATACTCTGCGTCTCTCTTTTTTAAACTGACAGAGCTTTGGGTGTCTAAACAAGCTCTTAGACCAGGGGCCTCAAACCTCCAGCTGTGGTGAAACTACAAATCCCATGATGCATCCCTCTGAGAGTCATGTCTGTGGCTATGAGAATCTTGCAATGCCTCATGGGATTTGTAGTTCCACCACAGCTGGAGGGCCGGAGGTGTGAGACCCCTGTCTAAGACAGTCCAATAGATTTTATGTTTTTGATTTGGACCCAGATGTAGTATACCAAATAGTGAACAATTTACTTTACAGCTATTTGTAACAAGCACTCATACCTCAGCAGTAAGATATTCCAAAATGGCTGCAGTATACACAGCAGCAGTTCCACCAACACGTCCATGACTGGTAGTCCGATTCTTCATAATTCGATGGATACGACCAACTGGAAACTAAAAAAAATAAAACAATGGTTTATAGAAGCCAAGCCTATAACAGATTTTTATGCATCAGACACTAAAAACAATGCAACATAAAAAGTGCAGAACAATAGATTCTATTTACACCAGAGGTCAGCAGCTCCTGTTAGGTGCAGCAAGTCTGGTCCTAGCGAACAAAGCTACTTACAACAACTCTAAGTGCAGATTATACCAACGCAAGGACCACATCTTATGCTCCTGAAAAGTGGCCCATTATGTTAGATTTGAGCATCCCTTGCATCAATGTAGCCATTTAAAAGGTTAACAGAACTATAACAAGCATTTAAAGTGACACTAAAGTCAGGAGTTAAATCTTAAAAATGTATTCATGTACCTTAACAAAAATGTAACTTATTTGTGCATCCTTCAGCTGTAGATCCTCAAATCAGCTCTAAATTGGTGCGGACACTGTCCTTCCTTCTGGAGGGTGGCTACTTTTGTTCCCCATGGTCCCTGTGTGTGTTATAAAGAAGCTACCGATTCAAGCTCGCTCCTGTGATGGACTACAATCTCAATACAAATTAGTAAACTAAACATGAGATTGTAGTCCATCACAGGAGCGAGCTTGGAGTGGTGGATATCTTACAAGACACATAACCCTCCAGAATGAAGGACATTGCCAGCACCGATTCAGAGATGATCTATAGCCAAGTGATACCCAAATAAATGTATTAGATTATATGGTTATTATTAGAGACCCAAATTAGGTTAATAGTCAAGATACTCGAGTGGATTTTTAAAATGTAACTCCCGGATTTAGTCACTTTAAGTGTTTGTTATTGCAGGAGGATCCCAATATGGTGGAAAAAGTTCCAAATTGTAGCAACCGTTAAAAAAAAAAAAAATCTGCATTCTTATATGGCCACAGGTTTAAATAGTAAAGAGCCTCTTTTACTCTAAGCACACAGTTCTGTAACAAATAAATGACTGACCAAGTCTCTTCCGGGTTACTGTGCAGATCCACCTGCTTCTCTTCAACTCTCTACAAAGTGATTTACACAATTGGGTGGGTAATTATGGAAGAGCCAAAGTACACAGTGACCATGAGAGAGACGGTCACACTTTTTTCTCATTCGCCTGGGTTAAAGTGAATGGAGGGATCAAGCGGTACCTGCACAGTCATTAAAATAACCAGCTGCCTTTGACCAGAACAGCCACTTATGGCACCATAAGCTGTGTGCCTGCATGTTTATAGCCATGGGAAGCGGGCACTGCCAATGCATAAAGCAACAATATATTCAGAGACAATGCAGCCCACAATAGAACATATATGTTAGGTTTTCCTTACCTGTAAACCTGCTTTAGCAGAACGAGAAACAGAAGCTGCCTTGGCTTTGCCAGAGTCTTTACCAGCTTTACCACCAGCCTGCGGAGGGAAAAAACACAGCGTTAATCAAACATCTCAATTTATGTTTCCAGCAGGTTTGCTTTTATTTCCAAATATAGAAAAAAGATTTTGGATTTGTTGCCATTTTACTGTCCGAAACGGTTTATGGGCCTCTTTACAGTGATAGCAAATTCAATGCAATACATGCAAATATCAATCGGTATCTAGCAGGACGGGCACTGCACATATTATGCCATCACATGTGTACATTCCTAAACAGTATGCACTTTGTCATTATTTCCACCTATATATCCTGCTCTATAAACCGATCCTTCTAACCAACCACACCAGCCTCTCAACCAGGGTCCCTCCAGAGGTTTGCTGGGGTTCCTTGGTCAATGGAGCAATTTCTACCTCTTAGATTAGCTCCCAATAACAATAATGATATTTCTGTAAGAGGATTCTTCCCAATGACTAATCACAGTAATGTACTGAGAGCTGTAGATATAGTAATTATTAACAGGGCTGCCCTGAGACCAGAAAGCCATTTCCTTTCAGAACGGATTCCTCCATGTTGAGAAAGAATGGCACCAAATATGTATTTTTTTACAAAAGTCTAAAGCCATGGGTGGACAAATTAATTCAGAAACCAGGATTTTAGGAGCCAGTTCCATTGACACCTAGAGAAAACCCTCAAACATTAGGCACCAGATGCCATTTTTTTTTTAGGAGAATCTGGATCCCGGAATCTGTCTAGACCTAATTTAGATATAAACCAGCAAGGTCACGCACACACACGTGTGTGTGTAATAAATATATATATAAAATAAATAAATACACACACAGGACTACTAGTTTTGTCTTGTGAACTTTTTTTTTTCCCTCCAACTTCCCCACTTGTTTACCTTATAAGACAAAAACAAAAATGGCAGCCACTCTGATCAATTATGAACAAGCAAGAGTGCTCATGGGTAGGCTGTTAGACTGAACCATTATAAAAACAAAGACCAGCACCCAAGTCCCAGCTTTATAAATATATACAATAAAAAGAAAAAACATTCAATGGTTTATTTTGCCGAGTTTTGCGATTACTATCTGGATTTTTTTTTGTCTATCCTCATTACACAGGGTAGAAATGAAGAGGATTTTGCCTGTGATCACATGCTGCCCTCTAGTAGCAGCTCATCCGTATTCATCATTGCCGATCGCCGATCTCCTTCCCCAACTGTGGCCCCATCCATATGGATGGTAGACAATAAAACCCGCGCTGGCCCAGGAAAACACGCGCTATATCCGAACAGGAAGTGTCTCTTCGTATAAATGCTTCCACCCGGCCCTACCATCAGCATCGTACGTAGAAAGAAGGCAGAATCCGGGTAATATAGAACGAAGGCTCACACAATGGAGCACCACGTGCTCCCCCCAGCACACACTCACCATATTGTCTCAGAGTACAGGTCACCGGCGTCCTCAACACAGCTCCAATGCAAACCGAAGATGAAACCCAAAGTTTCTCCCAGCCATATAAGACCCAGCCACAGCTAGACAAGAGCCTCGGAGGTCGACCAATAGCGTGCGCCAGCGTCAGCAAAAGGGTGTAGCCTGAGCGGGAGAACGCAGAGTGGGCGGGGCGTGTTTTCAGCGCCAGAGTTTCATGTAATCTTGGCATTGAATAGCCCACAGCTTCTATGGTGCTGGAAATCCCGTTTTCTTTGTTTAAAGGCAAATCCCACCTTTTGCAAAACAAAACACAAATAAAAAAGGTAATAAATGCAGCAACATTGATTAAAAAAAGCAGCTTATTTATTAATATTTTGCATTGGAGCATGCAAAGGATTGCAACTGTAATCAGGGGATAGCAGGTGCAATGCACAGGGTGCTTTAGACCCTTGGTTCTCAACTGGTGGGTCGTGACCCAAAAGTGGGTCGCGACCCCGTGTTCAGTGGGTCACTGCATGCCTTCCACTTTTCTAGGTGGGAGGCTCCTCAGCCACCCCCTAGTACAGCACTGTCAGTTCTCACACCGAGCAGCCATTCAAAATATGCTACCCAGCATCGAGTGTCAGCTTGAGGTGGGATAGGATAAGGCTATGGCCACGAAGAAGCTCCAATCATGTGTGCATTGCTTACAGCTCCCTCATGTGTCATGTAGAGGTGCCTGGACCAGAGTAACGCACTGTACCATGCAATCACACCTAGTACGCGTTCTGGCGTGGGAGGTATGTTGCGTTGCCATTCATTTCAATGGTACTCCAAACACACCTCCCAACTAGTGATGGGCTCAGGCGTGTTCACAAGCGCCTCGTTGCCGAGCCCGCCAGGAAGCTGTCAGCGCGCGCAAGGCCAATCACAGGCACTGAAACATTTCCCGATCTCTGCAGCTGCGGACCGGGAACATGTCTCAGTGCCTGTGATTGGCCCTGCGCGCTGACGGCTTCCTGGCGGGCTCGGGACGAGGCGCTTGCGAAAACGCCCGAGCGCATCACCACTTCCAACCACAGTTTGATCGCCTGCACCGGAATGTGCGGTACCGCAATGCCGTGCTGTCCATTGCAGTGGGACTTGGGTCGCGACTTAATGGCCAAGGACAAATGTGGGTCCTGAGGTTACACAGGCTGAGAACCGCTGCTTTAGACTATTCCTCCAGCCCGAGTACATGCAGAGGTACAGATAGGGTTGCCACCAGGACAGTCCGGTTTTGGAGTCTTGTGTCCAGGTGTCAAGCCAGCCCATCTGAGAGCCCGTACAGTCCACCAGACCACCTGGAGATATCAGGGCGCCAACCTAGAACAACACAGAGTATGTAGCTTCATATTATTTTGTATTGCTGTATAATGTATTGCTGGGATTTGTAGCCCTCTATATCTGGTCTACTTACCAGATATAGAGGACTACAAATTGCCGCACGTAGTGCTAGAGTGTTCCGGTTTAATTTGAAGAAAAGGTGGCAACCCTAGGTAAAGATCTTCAGTTGGAGGGAAGTTATCAATGGACTATAAGTGCAGTGACCCCGCCGCACTTGTGCTGCATTAAAGGGTAAATTCCCAAGTGAATTTGGGAAAATGGAATTACCCGCTCAGATCTGCCCCCCTCCTCCCACTATACTTACCATATGGCAAATGGTCATTCCCCTCTGCCAGTACAGGTTTACTATCCGTACCCTGTACTGCTGTGTAGCGCAGCCCAGCACTATGGATTTTAAATTTTGCTCACAAATGGCGAGCACTCATTGGTCATTGCGGTCACCTGATTGTGCTGACCAATGAGAAGCGCTTCTTGCTCACCTGACCGCACTGACCAATGAGTCCTCGCCATTTGCGAGCAAAATTCAAAATCCATAGCCAAGGGCTGGCAGTACTGGGTATGGATAGTAAACCGATACTGGCGGAGGCGAAGGAGCGTTTCCCTAAAGGTAAGTATTGCAATGGGGGAAGAGGGGGCCAGATTTGAGTAGGTAATTCAATTTTCCCAAATTCACTTGGAAAAGTGAGCTTACCCTTCAAAATCTGGGAGGTAGATCTCGTGGTGGCAGACGGGGCACTGTCATGCAGTGACAGATGGAACATGTAGTTTTTTCTCAATGGATCCTCTCAATGGATCTGTGAAATTATAATTTATCGGTATGGGTGAAGTCACACATAGCCACACCGATTAAAAAAGAAAGATGCTGTGGGGAGAAGGACCCCATGATTTAGCCAGTGGGTCGGTGATTTGGGAAGGGGAGCTGCTGACTGCCGCCATGTTTCGTATTACATCCTAAACATGGGTATAAGATTGTAAGCTCTCACGGGCAGGGCCCTCCTAATCATCTTGTTAAGAATCGCATTGTAACTGTAGCGTCTTCCTTGTATAATAAAGCGCTGCAAGGTGGTATTCTGCATTGCTGTATAATTACTATACAGCAATGTAGAATGACACCAACTATGCAGGACTAGAAGTCCCAGCAATGCATTATATTTTTAAGTAGGGATACACCAGTGCCAATACTGGGCATTTTCACAAGTACTCATACTCAGATAACGGTGTTCTGTCAAGAACGCAGACGTAGTGGAATTTGCCGACCTCAGCATCTACGCTTGCGCACAGACCAATATTATCGAGGAAACCGGGATTTATTCACAAGGTATTTCATTTAAATCGTTAATTGTGACTGTTAATAATATTCCACTCATCATTTACTGCCATGTACGGTATATTATTAAGAGTCACAATTAACCATTACAAACGAATACTTTGTAAATAAACGGCGGTTTCCTCGTTAATCTCGCCTGTACGTAAGCGCAGATACTGGGTCAGCGTTCTCGACAGAACACCGGCACTAAAATTTTAAACAAGCGGCTGCTTGAGGTCCCGAGCTTGCTGGGGACCTCGACAGCCTTCCTGTTAACCATGAATAGTAATTATAATAATAATAATAACATGAAACATGGTCCAAAAGGTGGAATTAGCTTTTAGGGCAGGTTTACACCAGCCAGCGACGCTGAACGCTTGGCCACCGGTGTGCGTTGGGAGGAACAGTGCTGATGCACCAATCCCTGTTTACTTTTTTCTAATATATTCTTAAGGTCCCCACACACCTTACGATAATCGCGGGAAATCCCGCGATCGTACGATTATCGTGTGTGGAAGCCGTGCGACCTCTACTACTGTAAGGTCGCACGACTTTAAACTTACGAACATGTTCGAAAACCCGCCGAGCATCGTACGATGTTTGGCGGGTTTGTGGCATGTCCGTACGATAACAGCCATACGGGCCGGTGTGCGCAAGCGCACACTGCCCGTTCGGCATTGCGGTCATCGGAAGCCAGCCCCTCAGATGGCGTGGCTTGCGATCATCGCAAGTACGATCTGCCTATGCAACATAGGCAGATCGTACGTTTTTTTAAGTACCTTACAACCATCGCAAGACAAAAGTCTTGCGATGGTTGTAAGGTGTGTGCCCAGCCTTATTGAAGTGTCATTTCATTAAGTTCTATTGGCCACAACGCGGTGCAGTTTGGTTGCACTGCGTTGCAGTAAGGGTTGCTGAAACGCCTTCACGCTGCATGCATGCAGCACTTTTTTCAGTGCACACTACACCACAGCTCAGTGATGTGAACTGTGCCTATTGAAAACAAGGCAGATTGCCCCGTCTTTGTGCTGGGCCTGTACAGGGCAAGGATGCATGCACAGCCCCAATGCACCTGGAATGAACAGGCCCCTAAAAAGAACCAGTCATGAAAAGCAGCCTTGTATATGAAACTTAGGCCAGATGGGCAATGCCTTGACTGACATCTGAGCTCCAGCTGTATTTGGATGTGCTTGACAGTTTAACAATCAAAATGCAAAATTATTTTAGTAGTACACAGTCTGTAGCTCACCACACACTTTAAAATCTGACTATACAATATCCTTTTGTTGTACCTATAACTATGTAGTAAAAGTTCCCGCTTGATTGGATAGTTTAGGTAGGTCCTCATATTACATAGTTCAGGTATATCAAAAGGAGTTTCTACAGTCAGATTGTAACATGTATAGCGAACATTACTAAGATGGTTTGGACCAGCTTGTCTCAACCTTTTTGCAGTTGGGACACCCTTTAAAATTATGCAAAATCTTGGGGCACCCAAGTCTAAAAATTTAAAAACCATAAATGTAAAAAATAACTTGTGGCCCCTTTGCAATCCACACTAGACCTTTTCTTAGATGGGATCTAGCATAGATTTTAAGGGGGGACCCTATGCAAAAACATAAAACAAAATGTGGGTTTACCCCTTCACATCCCTTCAAATTCGAAGCCCCCTTCACATCAGATTCCCTCTTTAGCATCAGGAGCCCCTTTTCACATCAGAGTCACCCCACCTCACACTAGGAGCCCCCCTTTACATCAAAAGCCCCCTTCACATCAGATTCCCTCTTTAGCATCAGGAGCCCCTTTTCACATCAGAGTCACCCCACCTCACACTAGGAGCCCCCCTTTACATCAAAAGCCCCCTTCACATCAGATTCCCTCTTTAGCAACAGGAGCCCCTTTTCACATCAGAGTCCTCCCTTCACATTAGAAGCCCCCGTCACATCAGAATCCCCCCTTTCATATCACAGTCCCCCTGTCTCACACTAGGAGCCCCCTCTTCACATCAGAAGCCTCCTTTCACATCATAGTCCCCTCCATTTTTACACCAAAATTCCTCATTTAACATCAGGAGCCCCCTTTCACATCAGAGTCCCCCTCTTTCACATCAGAGCCCACTCCCTTCACATCAAGAACCCTCTTCACATCAGAGGCATGATGTTGTGTGAAAACTTCAAAGCACCTCTGAGGAAGCCAGAAGGTTGGGAAAGGCTGGTTAGGACTGTGCTTGATAAAACACAGTCACATGGTAAAACTGCTCCTAGTGCTTAATCTTTTTTTCATTTGTGGCAAAAATATTTTCTATTCTTTCAAAAGGCTTTTTATTATCTCTTTATTTCATCTCTGATAAGTGACATTCCACCAAATCTGATATTTCAGTTTTTGGCCAACTCTAGAGAGTTGACCCCCCCTGACAATTTCTTATATCAATTACTCTATTAGT